TGCAACTGCAAATGCACATGCACATGTACCAAATGCACATGCAACTGCAAATGCAAATGCAACTGGAATAGCCGAATTAAATATTATTTAAAATAATCTTTACCTATACATTCTTTTTTTTCTCTTCTTATTTTTGACATGACATTTACTTACAATATCGTCAAGATTCTCTCTCTACGTTTAGATATAAACACATAAGAAGCTCGTCATACCTTTTCTTTTTTATCTAAGAGCATAACAGTGAACACATATTCACATACACACATATACATGTACGTATATGTGAACATATTATGATGGTAGCCATACTGTTAGTGGTGATTTAGCCTAAGCCCACGGAAAGAGAGTAACAGATGCTTGTGGGTGGCACAGTGTGGTGGTTGAAACAGTGAAAACTATCGTAGCGAAAGATTCGAGTTGCGCTCGAATTAGTTCAAATAATATATTCGTATTAATTCCAATGAAAAGATACAACAAAAAATACGTCACACATGCATCATATATATATAAGTATAATAAAAGAAAATTAATCGAAAAAAAAAAACAAATAATATATATATATATATTTAAATTATCTTCAATAAACGCATTTATACAGAACAGTAACTACGTATAATTTTATTTTAAAATAGAAAAATTGACGAGGATAGAACACAAATAAATACGAATGTGTTCGAGGCCATCGCTGAATTGGCAAATAGGAAGGTTTTGAGGGATCGGCTTATAAATAGCGAAGGAAAGTGTGAGGTAACGCAGTAGAACGTGCCGTGAATTATAATTTAATATCGTCCAGTATCGTAATACCTCGTATATCCACGTCTGTCTATATCTATACATATATATATATACACACACACACGTACATATATATATATATACAGGTTGCACATTTATGTGTACAACGAAGCGAAGAGAACGTACGAACGAATCCTTTTCTTTCCATGGTGGCCAACACCCCCGATACGTGTGTGCTCGCAACTGTGAGATAAAGAAAAGAAAATAAGAAAATAAAAGAGAAAGAGAGAGAGAGAGAGGGAGAGAGAGAGAGAGAGTATGTATTATTCAAGCACGTTTGGTACGAGTAGGTAGGTAGGTGGTCAGTGACATACGAACGCGAATAATACCTCGACTCGTATTAGCATAACGCCTCGCGATAGTTTTTCAATGAAAATACATGAATTACTAAGCGTACGAGGTTCAAGAAAACCGCGTGGGATAAAATTACGTCAACAGGAATTTAAAATTCGTTAGAGAGTTATAATAAGAGAAAGATAGTTAGATAGGGGGAGAAAGAATAGAAGGGGGGAAGGTAATTGTAAGAAATTTAAAGTTCATGAATATGGAATAGTTTCTTGTAAATGATTGATATGATCTTTACAATGATTCCCTTTAACGAACTCTTCACATTCATTCTTCTGAGATACTTGAATTGTTGAGAAAATTGTTGTTGAAAATTTCTAAGATCTTTGTAGAAAAACCAAATGTAATTCTGTTGTACTGAATAACATGATTTTTTTGTTTAATATATATTTGAAATAAAGTATTAAATTATCTTAAATAAATGTTAAGGAATAATTAAGACTGAAGGGTCTCATATAACATAGGTTCCTATTATTAAATAAAATAATACATAAATATAATAATAAAATAGGAACTTTTATATAAATCTTACTATATAGGGGAGGGATTTATCCGTATTTATATATTATTTAAAATACATATAAATTATTGTGTGTGTTTATATAATATTTAAACAAAATAATACGAATAAAATCAAATATAAATGTTGCGTTCAAATACAAAGTAGAAAAGATAGTTTTGTTGGAGAGTTACTTAAAGCCATCGCTAGAATGTTTGATAGTGGGTGCAAGAAGACGAAGGAGGAAGAGGAGGAGGTGGAGGAGGAGGAGGAATGATCGAACGTCGTTTTCTTTAGCGGAAGTAAAGCCTTTACTTGCTCACCCATCATTCTATGCATAACGCGATGATTTACAGCTAGAAGTAAGTCGTGCCAGTGAATTTTCACGGGCGCTTAAACTTTACCATGGCAAAGAAGAATTTCCTCAGCCCCATTTTCGATCTTCTTCCTCTTCTTTTATTCTTTTTTTTTTTTTTTCTTTTCGTTCGAGTTATGTTTTCTCTCTTTCTATCCGGATTCGCATAAATCTTGATAAACGCGCTTGAAATCAAAGCTTTGCCATAGTTTGTGCTTCGAAGATGTTAACTGGCATTTATTTTCGAAACAAACTCGTATCAACAACCCCATCATCACCCACCCACCCTTTTTACGATCCAACTTTCATACACTTTTGCGAAAACGAATAGGAAGAAAAAAGAAGTAAAAATAAAAACGAAGGGACAGATGAAAAAAGTGGGTTGGTACACGCGTTTGTTGTTCCTTTTTCGGTTCAACGACTAAAACAAATTTTTATGTGAAACAATTCAAATCATTTTTGTCAGCCAGTTGTGGTGATAACAAAATTGAAGTATAATAATTCGTTGAGTCCAAAAAAAAACAAAAGGGTTATTAGAATTATACACGAACAATGATATTTGTATTGAATCTTTGTTTTTTTCGGTACGAGTGCCGGATATATACGGCATCAATCAAACGAGCTGCATTTTTACGAGTATCGATTATATTCGATATTAATTTGAATAACTGCACGTATTAATTAACATTTATTAACTAACAATAAGAACACAATTCTTAATTAACTTAACTTAAACAAAAATATATTTTCGTACGAAAGAAAACGACGAACAGTAACGCTAGTACCGAAAAAATTAATACGAATTTTTCTATTAATACGATGTTGCTATTGAATGATCGATAGGACAACTCTAACGGGTGTTTCAATTTGTTTTAACATTGATAAAGTATAGTTAAAATATAGGACAACATAGACGATGATCGTATATCATCTTAATTGAGATACTCCAATACGGATAGTTTAAAACGTTCATATTCTTTAACGCAAATAAACATTCTAAACGACGATAGATTATGATACAGGAATAATAAACTGACCATTCTAGTTTCTTGTTAAGATTTTTTCACGACTATACCACCGGGTGTGTAACCTGTATAGTTTTCCTTAAAAAAAAAAAAAAAATATTTCTATAAGAATATAAAATAGAGAATAAAATCCAATATTCTTCGTTAAAGGTCTATTACGTTGATAAATCATTTTACGATTTTCTATCTGTGTGTATGCTCACGTGTGTGTGTATGTGTGTGTGTGCTGTAGGTCTAGCATATTTCTCACGCACGACACCAATTGCCCCGTTTAACTGTAGCAACGATATAAACTCCGCAACGAAACGTGACTCGAGGCTACCTATTTCAAGGTTCAAGTGTAAATGCCGCCTTGAAAGCGCGTAAATGCATAGCCAGCATATCTTATAGTTGCACAAGCATCATAGATCACCTTCTCTCTTTCACCTTTTAACGGGGGGGAAGGGGGGGAAGGGGGGGTTGGGGAGGTTTAGGAGGAGGAAGAGAACGTAAGACGCCGCAAAAGTCTCACGGTTTCACTGCAATCTATACTTCTATTACAAGATCGATTCATTTAACCAACCAACCACCGTTCTCCTACTTTCCAACTAGAACAACACCATCAGCTAGCTGTTTAAAAGCTGTTACATCAGGATTCTAAACTAATAGACCTTTTTCTTCTTTGTTGCTTTTATTTTGTTTAACCTCCACCCAACCCCCGTGTTATTCCACCTCAAAATGAAAGATCAAACGTTTAACGTTATTTTCCTCGTTACTTCAGAAACTAATTGAAAATAATAAGTATAACTTATATCTTGTGGTTCTATAATTAAACAGTAATATTTTATTATGAGATAAAAAGTGATTGCTACCACCCCCATTAGAAGAAGAAACTTTCTCGTATATGTTTGCTAGCATGCTTACTCATAGACACCATGCCGGCAACTGGTTGGTTGGTTGCTTGTAATCCACGGATAATTCTCCAAGTACCACCTTACCACCACCACTATCACCACCACCACTATGGGGTCGGTCTCGTCTAGTGGGTATTCGCCACAGATGTAAATACCCGCGGGGTCTCTGTAGGTTGAGCCTAGGGGATATTAAATATACGTTCTATGGGTACTCGACAAATTGCTCGCATGAACCAGAATAATTAGCATCGCAAGCCTCCGGTGCATTTCTACCCATCTCTTTTTCTAC